CTTACAAATTTAATTATAAAAAAAATTAGTGGGTCCCATCTTCCTCCCTATGATGCGTACAATGACCATTAACCTCTTCCCTATTAACCTCCCATGACACCCCCTTTACAATGCATGATGCATGTCATGGTTCCCATTAACCTCCCCATGACACTCCATTGAAGATGCTCTTAGTGTTTGTCGAAATAAGGTTTATCAGAAGCCCGAAAGCAAATAAGAGTGACAAAGTGACAAAGGAGAGATAAAAAAATTAAATAATTAAAATATTCTTTAATTAAAATTTCAAGTCAAATTATCAAAAATATTAATTTTCTAATTTATTCATTGATTTGTGATTGAGATTTAATTTCATAGTTGTCACTCAAACCAACCAGTTATCCATGGACCATATATATATATATATCATATTAGTGATTTTTCTTTCGAAATAACCACCTGCAGGAGGTCAAGGGACTCCTTGTAACGGAATTTTATAACATAAGGGAGCAACTAGAAGAACTATTTCCTTTAGGAAACCTTGCCCGCCAACTAAAAAGAGCGATTGAGAGGAGCCCCTCGCCTCACTCCGAGTCCGAAACTCCACAATTTTCTTTCCCACTCCTGAAAGCAAGCCCGTGAGCGATCCAGGAAAGCCTGTCTCAATCAAGACATCTCCTCTTAGGCAAGATATATATATATATATATGTGTGTGTGTGTGTAATAATATGATTATGAGATATAAGGACCTACGAAATAAACAAAATCAATTTATTAAGATATAAGCACCTGCGAAACTCCCAAGAAAATGTGAAAGATTACAACTAAAAATCCAATAAAATGTGAAAGATTACGACTCCAAGATTCAGAATTTTAATCCAGAAATAAACAAAATCAATGGAGAGATCCGAACCCAAAGATGATAATTGCAAGTGGGAACGTCAAGATTGCAGAAGCTGCTAGTTTTTCCGACGACGATCCGCTTGGTGGTGGAGCATTAATGTCCGCCGGATTACCAATCGGAGAAGACGCCGGACTACCCGCCGGAGAAGATGAATCGCTCACACCTGGAGAAGAGGCAGGACTACCAGCTGGAGAAAATGAGTCACTTCCATCCGGAGAAGACGCCGGAGAAGAAGAGCCACCGCTTCCAGTTCCACCAGGGGAAGACGCCGGACTGGCTGGTATCGTTGTTCCCGGTTGTGGTGGTGCAGAAATAGGGAATTCCGATGGAATAGGTGAAAAGCTTGTCGGCGGCGAAGCGACGCCGGCGGGAGGTGGTGATGACTTAGTTTTAGGCGAGATAACGACTACATTTAGCTTCTGACCCTGATCACAATTCGATTTGTTACCACTGATGAAGTAAAAAGGTCCTGAACGGTTCAAAGTGAAGTAAGAGTCGCCGCCGGCGAGTTTTGTGATGGGGTTTTTCGTGTTGCAGTTATCATAATCGCCATTGTTAACCTCCAATACAGAATCCGACCCACCATTGTATTTGAAATCTGCAAATCAATAACCAAAAATTCAGAACATAAAACAAAAACCCAAATCAAGAAATGAAGAAAAAGGGTATGAATTTTACGTAGAGCGTCGTTGACGATGAACCTCAATCGGCCGGACCATTGATTGTAGTTTTCCGATGGGTGTAAGGTCCAGCCATCTCTGCCGCCGACGTTGAAGGTGTAAGCACGGGAAGAAGAGAGTAAAGCGAAGAAGAATGTGAAGAAGATGCAGAGGGTTTTGTGGAAGGATTCCATGGAAACCGGTAGCAAGATGGAAGATTACAGACGGCAATGGTGGTGGTGGTGGGGGTGTTTATAGAAGACAAATGAGAGTGACGGACACGCGGCAAACGCACAGCGAGTTTATCGGTTAGATATTTGAGATGTAAAGGGTAGAATTGGTAATTTCACATTGGGTTGTGGTGACAGTGACTTATGCTTCATGTTCGTACAATAATGCATTGGTATTACAAAGGGTCGACATATTACATGGCCCCTCTTTATTTTATTTTATTTAGTTATTTTTTTTTAAAAGATTGTTTGTTTATTTTTTAATAGTTTTATTAAGAGGTAATTTCTGAATCGTTAAAAGGTGTATTTTGTCTGGTAAAAAAAATTTGTCTCTTAATAATTCTAAAATCTTCTGAATGATTTTGTATCCTACATCTTCCTTAACCATTAAGAGCCCTACTTTCATTCTACACAATTACCAAATAATTATATTTCATTTTGCACTATATCATGCGAGCCTTTTAATCATTTTGACCACTTAATCATACCGATTAATTTATTAATTAAAGTTTAATTAGTAATACAACATATTTTTTATTTTAAATTATAAATCATATTGTCTTAAATTCTCTAAATTATAATACAAACGATATACAGAATTTGATTGAATTCATTCGTCTAACCCTAACAACCTTAATAACTCGTACACACTTCCACGGTGCATCAACGCTCCTCGATAGCCATTTTGTAGTTGACCATTAGTCAATGCTTGTATTAGATGAAGATTATTTGAATGCTTGTGTAGGTAGGGATAACACTTACAACACATATCAACATGTTTTGTGAATGTTCGATAGTTTTAGTGCATCTAGATCTTGTTGGTAATGATGTCAATTTAAATAAATTTATAACTTCAACTTTTCTGATGTTAGTACACTACCATACCAACATGTGTCAACCGAAAAAAGTTGGTATTAATTGGGTTGGTACCAAGTATAGTTGGTTGATACCAAGTATAGTTGGTTGATACATGATATTAAATTTTGTGTATTTAATTATTGTTAAATACAAATTTGGTCCCTGTTATACTGATGTAAATTGTTCGAGGTACCAAATCTCTAAATCTATGGTTTTTTAGTATTCGATATTGTTTGTCATTTTAATTGTTTTTGAAGAGAAAAAATTTTAATAACTTATTTCATTATATAATATTTTTTTTATTGTGAAATATTTGATACGAAGCCGTTCTTTAACATGTTAAATGTGTGATTTTGAACATGACTCCTAAAATTTTGGGGCCTAATTTTACATTGTTTATGACCATTTTATCAACGAATGTAAAAACTATAGTCTACGCTCAGTGCCAGTTTAATTTCTACCAGAAAACAAAAGTAGTACGTCTTATCTCACTTTTGTAATATATATATATATATATATATATATATTATTTTATTTATATTGTAATCAAAAGTTTTAAATGTAATAAAGCCTCCAAAAATATTTAAACGTCTCTGATTTCATAAATTAATTAATTAATAAAAAATTATAAAGTATAAAAAGAAAAGCTTCAACCAAAGGTTGGAGTTTTCCAACCCTTTTAACCCCAGAACCTTTTTCACTCAAATCCATAAAACTTCTTAGTAAACTACAAATTTGGTCCCTCTACTTTGTAAAAAATAACATTTTTTTCCTACAACTTTAAAATTACAAAATAACCATCATTGTTTGTAAAAATATATGTATTTAGAACTTGTTAAATAAGTCATTTGACATTATAAAACTTGTTCAATAAGTCCTTGGACTTTTTAAAATCTGTTAAATACATGTTGTTAGTGGAAAAAGTCCGAAAAACCATGGACTTTCATATTTAAAAAAATGAGGATCTATTTAACATGTTTTAAAAAGTCTAAGGAGTTACTTAATAGATTCTAAAATGTCCAATGATTTATTTGTTCCAAAAAATTGTCCAAGAACTTAATTGTTCCAAACAATAAAGTCCATACCTTTAGCTCCCGCTTGGTTTCATGAAATGAAATGGATTTGGGGGGATTTGCATTTCAAATACATTCCAATCCCATGTCTAGGTTGTTGGATTGTCCGGATTTTGAAATCCTTAGGGAGTATTCGAGATTTCAAGGGATTTCGTAAGATTGTATGCAATAAGGTTTTAAAAAATGTTAAAATATTTGTTTTGTAATAATCGATTAATAAAAATGTAATTCAATTATTTTTATAAATAAATAACTTAAAATAATCATAAGTTTCATGTTACAAGTTCAAATTTTTGCCCCCTAAGGTTTATTATAAAAAACCCAAGGGACTTGTAGCCTAATGATATTGTAGTATTTAGTTTTTTAGGAGATCATAAGTTCAAACTTTACCAAAAGTGAAGAGTGTGTGTGAATTTATTTGTTGTATTTGTTGTCTATAAACATTATATATTTCAAAAAGAAAATACTATAAAACAGTTAGAAAAGTTTTATAAAAAAATATTTTAAAATAAAAAAATTGAAACAAATTACGGTTTACTTTAAAGAAAATAAATCATTTAAGTAATAACTAAATATCTTATTTGATTACTAGAAGGGTACTCGCGCAATGCAACGAAATATATCTCGATTTTGATGTTTCATTTTATTCATTTTCGGTGTCGATATAATACGGTTTTAAGTGATTTTTAGAAAACAATAATATTTTTATTTTAAATAAAATATAAATAAAAAATTATCGTTTTTCGGGTAATTTATTTAATTCAATTTTTTTTTTATTATAAGTCAATTTAGATTTAATAACAAAGTAATTTACTTTTGTTTAATAGTATAATTTTAATAAGAATGATAATTAAGTATTATGTTAAAATTCAATGGTTATACTAATTATATTTTAAATTTTTATATTTAAAATAAGATGTTTATTATGTATTTAGTTATATATATATCTGCAGTTAGTTACACGAATTTAAAAAGAGAGCTTTAATAAGTTGTATTTACGCACAATTTATTTGTAATATTGAATTTTAAGTAATATACATAAATAAACAGTACTTCATGCATAAAAAAAATTATCAAATATTTTATAATGTAGTATAGATATGTAAAATGGATATTTTTAAATAAATTAAAGAGTAGCTATTATTTTAATTTATAAAAAGTATTTGGACGATTTATTTGAATTTATCTGTCAAACATATCTGGGCCATCAAAAGGCCCATAACTTAATGGCCCAATAAGGCTATAGAATGCATTAAAATAGAGATGGATCGGGTAGACTAGCCTAAATCGGTTCCTTTAAAACCGGGTCTACTAAACCCAGTCTCAACCAAAAAATCGTAGGTCGGATTGGGTTCAATTTAGCAATTTCGAACATAAAGTATGACATCATTACATTACAATAACATATAGTGTTCGCTTTAAAGGGTATTAATGTAATTTGATACATTTTTAAAGAGCACTCATATTCGTTTTCGTTTTTTGTTTCTTTGAACATATAAGAACTGATGAGATCAAATATCGTCGAAGGCAGATCTATTAAGGAAGGGGTAGTGGCCTATCAGTGCTCCCAATGTATTCGTTTTTATGTTATCATTGGGAATCGTTGCAAGAAACTGAAAATGTTACAACCGAAGCTTAAATTTAAGGTTTATAATGATTAACGATGGTGGAACACGAAAACCTTAACCGTAAATCATTGAAGTCTGAACCGATTTCTTAGTGTTTGTATTTATATTCAATACAATTATTAATTTGGGCAAATTACAGGAAGAGTGACGTAATGTAACTTTATTCCTATTTTTGGTAACGTATTTTTAAAACTTACATTTTGGTACCCAAGATGTAAAGTTTTAAATATATAAGTACCCGGGTAATAGGTTGATGTGACAAGTGATGTGGTATCCAACTTAGTATTATTTTGCTGACGTGGTTATATATATATATATATATATATATATAGGGGGTCTAATCAAGGGAGAACTCGATTGTTTGTGATAACTGTGAGATCCAATCTCAACCGCACATTATTAATAATCAATGGTTATTATTAAAATATTAATTTTGGTAACTATTCATTAATTTTAGTAATTATTCATTAATTTTCAAATAATTTAAATTTACTGATAATATATAGGGGTAAATTAGTCTTTTTAAAATCTCTCTCATCTCCCCCTCTCTCTCCGACCAAGAATTTCTAACGGTAAAACACAAAATAAATATGATATACACTATGATACCCAATAATTTATAACAGTAGCACACAAAACTAATTGTGTTACACATTATGATACCCAAGAATTTATAACAGTAAGACACAAAACCAATTGTGTTACACATTGTGATACCACTGTGATAACGTTTTAAATAGATGTGATTTGAGTCTTAGGCCACACACAACCACAATATGATACATTGTGATACAATTTTGTTGAGATAATTAAGAAAATCGAATTCTTAATAATTAAGGAAACCGAATTTGTAAGAAAAATATTAAATTATAATTAATCATTTTACTAAAACGCTCTTTACCTATTAATTAAGACAATACAATTAATATCATAAAATTATTGGTTCATATTGGACTTCATGGTTACCACAAACTAATTAGTTTTTATTTGATTAGGCCCATATATATATATATATATATATATATATATTGATAATATATAAATTTTATATAAATTTTATGATATTATGTTTGTATTTTATTTTAGCTAAACGTGTAGGTTACCAAAAGAGATTCACGATAAAAAAAAATAATGACAAATAATCTAATTAATAAGATGAAATTATTGAAATATTTTTTTGTAGCAACAACAAATTGATATGTCGGATAATATGAATGATATTGATAGATATTTAGTTGATGAATCCATCAATCTAAATATCCCGTCATTTTATGTTGTATTTTAGTGGAAAGAAAATGTTTAATTATAGCATTTCGTTACAACAATATTAGATCTTATAGGATGCCTAGAATGTCTAAGCATCATAATATGATACTGACGATACAAGAAAAATGTCTCATCTAAAAGAGTTACAATATGTTTATAAGATGATTTTGGGCGTCTTAACAAATTTTATAACACTTTTTAAATAAAATGTCTATTAG